TCAGAAAATATTCATTTACCGTTTTATTTTGCTAAACTGAAGCTGTATAAAGAATGTAGAATTTAGTGAAGAAACATAGAATATTTATATTATTATTTTCTCACTGGTCTCTCTGTATATAGTCAGGGATGGACTCGTCTATGACTAGACTTGTAGTTCTACTCTGGCTGCCTGAGATCACTCCTCTATATGAAAATATCAGATGAACAATACTCATGAGTATTTTGTCAAAAGTTATATGAGTACTTAACAATACCCAAGCATGAGTACCCAAAGTCGTACCACAGTACTCGTTACTCACTCATGAGTACTCAATGAGTAAAAAAATGTGTGAGTACTCATGAGTGCTCAGGACATTTTTCAGCAGAGTATGACTTTGAGTACTCACCTGAGTACATTCACTAGGGTTCTCTTTCAGATCACTCATTTTACAGATTGTTTTCAACCTCCTTTCCACATTGTAAAGATGATCAACAGCAACAACGTTGTGAAGTTCTTTGGCAATGACCGTGGGTAGTTCGGTTATCAACGAACGCGTGTTCTCGCCAAAAATGCAGCACATCGGCTCCCATCACTTTGAAGTGCTGCAAACAAGAACTGTGCTTCAAACATATCTGAACTATCACTTTCACTGGTGGCACGAATTTATTTTCTAAGCGTCGTTAGTCTGTATGACTCGTTTTCTTTTAGTTAGTAATGATCGTGTTCGCGAGTTCAGGAGAATGTAAGTAGGAAAAGGTGTTTTTCTTGAAAAAACTCATATTTCAGCAACGGTGCGACCCGACTTCGATGTTTATTCCCGACAGACAGGCCTGTAGTTGTACACCAAAAAAATCTTTCAGCGCTCGAATCGATCGCGTTACAGACAACTCGATTGTTCATCAAAACAAGATCGGTCCTTGAATGAAATCTGGAAAATCGATTTCTCATTTCAGAAGGTTCATGAGCAGCTGGCCTGATAGAGTTCTTCTAATCTCACCAAGAGTGAATTAATCCGAAAATATGAGCTCAAAATCGGTTAGACAGTTGGGGTGATTCTCTAATGACTTATTCCATAGGTGATCTTTGAAGGATGACTGACGAGTGTCCTATCAATGAGGAGTCACTCGAATGTTAGTAACCGGACATACACGAAAAACGTTAAAATTGGATGAAATGTTATTCTACTAGTTGCAGAACTATTCCTGGACCAAAAGTAGAATGAATGATTACTAAACAAAAAAGATTCTCCTTTTCCCTTCGACAAACTGAAGTTTACCAAAACCAGAGAGTTTTGTTTTACAGGAGACTGTATTAACAACAGCTCATTACTATTACAATTTTTACAGTTGGATCAAATGGCAGTAGCCTAGAGAGTGAACGAGCACAGCACTCAACAACATTCCAAGCATAACTCATTGTCTCAAAACATTCTTATTTGGACGAGTTCGGCAGAGTCTTAAGCAGAACAATATGATTAAAAAACTCTAAGTACCTCGAATTATTTTCTTGTTTTTAACCCACAATAGTAAAGTAAAAACAACAACAAAAGCTATTTCACCGTCAGAAGTGTAAAATAAGAAAATTATTTTATATATAGTAGAGATTGTTCTTTGCGGCCAAAAAACAAAATATCTAGCGATCAATAGCACTTACATTATTTCTTCATTTTATTTTATTGAGAGAAAGAGAGAGAGAAAGAGAGAGGGGGAGGAAAAAAACTTGAGAATTAAAAAGAAAAACTGATAGTCATTACTACTGTTTTATTATTCAACTTGCCATCGTTTCTGCGTTTAGATTTGCAGTTCACTTTGGAAAGTAACTTCTGTAGGATCAGCTCTGAATTTTAGCATATTTTTTAATTTGGAGAATGCTGAAATATGCCCAAAGTTTAATGTCGAAGCGTACGTTCAAAGTTGTGAATGACAACATAGTGGACGCTATCGTACAGCACTTGACGTATCCCAAACAAGCAGCATGATAGAAATGACGAGAGAGAGACTAAGATAGAACAGAAGAAAAGCAAGTACAAAATAACATATGTTTTCGTATTTTGTGTAAAATGAATAAAAAATCACGAAAACAAGGTTAATTCTTTCGTAATACGTAGACTGTAGGTCACATTATTTTTGGTTATTGGTCATTAAGTACGTTATAGGACCTTAAGAAGAAAGGGCAAAATGAGCATATGAGCACAGGTTTTAGTACTATCGCGCAATTGTAAAAGAAAGAAGTTCGTTCAATACGGAAAACAACAGAAACATCTAAATGGTAACGCTTCTTTGATTGGCTAATCTGTAGAAGGGTCAGTTGCTGTGAAAGAGAGGTGAAGAAACAGAGAAATGCTGAAAACTTGTCAATCTAGTTAAGTTCTGCTATATATAGTAATATACTAGATAGCACTATAATGCTTATTTAGGCTTAATAAAACCTGGTCTTCTAGCAGTCCACATAAGTTTTTCGAAAATTGAACAATAAATCCTAATATAAGACTAAGATTAATTTATTCACGAAAAATGAGAGTCATACAGTAAGACTAGTTTATTCATGAAAAGTGAAAGTTATAAAAGGTCCCCAACCTATAATATCAATGATTCAAGCCAAGCTGCAAAAATGAAATAGGGAAAAATAAAAAGAAAGAAAAAGAAACTAGAGTATACAACATAAAGATAAGAAACGGTGAAAATAAATGGCAAATAAAATAATTTTAGAGAAAACAACTAACACGAGTTTATTTTGACTAGGAACATGGCTGAAATTTTACTATAAAAAATATTGAACTAGTGCCGTTTTGAAAGATGTTAAAGAATAAAAAAACAAATAACTGACTCAGAAAGTTTATTCCAGTCAATAATTCATCAAGGATTCTCAACCGGTAATATCAATTACTCAAATCAGACTACAAAGAGAGTAACGATAAACAAACTAAAGCAAAACTAGAATAATGAACAGCATCAAGTATGTTAGTAATTAGAAAAATAAAATAAAAATAGTGGTATGTAGACTATCGACTTATTGTGTGATATACAGGAGAATTTCTCCAGAGAAATTCATTGGATGAAAGTTTTGGAGTTACACAAGGACCAAGGTAAGATTTCATTTCCTGTTTTTATTTTTTTTTCGACTCTGCCACACGTACGGAGATATTTGTTACACTACATTATGGAAGGCGCTGTTTTTTGCGAACATCTCTGTACGTGTAGCAGAGACGGAAAAAATAAAAACAGGAAATACAATCCAACTTGATTCTTGTATAAATCCAAAACTTCGCTCATTCAATGAATTTCGCTGGAGAAATTTTCTTGTATATCACACAATAAGTCGACAGTCTATATACATACTATAGGGTAAAAGGAAAAATGAAAATAATAAATAAATTCTATAATAGAATAAACACAGTTAACGATTGACAATAATTGTAATTTAAGGTAGAAGATATTAAGAAAGAGCAGGAAGAGAAATACTTTTAGATTGCGTGATTAATTCTTTTTGCAAAAGAAATTTTTAAGGTGGCACTTCAACACTAGTGTTTTAGTCTAATAAGAAGAAGGAAAAACTTTTGTTCACTACTAATTGGTTAATTCTTCATATTTCTCCAGAGTTCATCTAGCATTCTTTCTGTAACTATCTTCACTTAAAAGAACTAGGACCTTTTATGTGTTTTACTTGCATATTCAATTTAGTCTAAGATCACAAACACAGAACATCAGAAAGAACGGTTTTTGATCGTTTAAAAGAAGCATAAAGGCCCTTAAAACCTCCAGTTGTAATTACTCTACGGTTTTTTGACGAATAATGAAACTATCGAGGGATAAATGTCTGAGTTTGTTCGTCATAGGAGGTACTTTTTCACTCTTGACACTATTTTGGACAATACAAGTTGATGATGAATCTGTTATTGTTTATTTTGCCTATTTCTAGATTTTAATAGACAATGAATCATGATCTAGATGGTTTGTTAGAATTTCTACTCTATGTTGGTCAAGCGAAACGTACGTTTCGCACCGGATGGGTGTTATGTGGTGTGGAAAAAGTAGAAAGTGTTGCCGATCATATGTATCGTATGGCTGTGATGAGTTTATTATTACCAACTGTTTCTGAAGAAAGTAAAGTAAGATGTATGAAATTGGCATTGGTTCATGATCTAAGTGAAAGTGTCGTCGGTGATTTAACCGAATTTGATGGGGTACCTAAAACGGAAAAACGTCGAAGAGAAACAGAAGCCATGTTATATCTAACTAGTTTATTATCAGCGGATGTTGGACGAGAGATATTTTCGTTATTCAATGAATACGCTGATCAAAAAACAAATGAAGCACTTTTGGTAAAAGATTTAGATATATTCGATATGCTATTGCAAGGTGCGTCATTTTATTACTCATCTTTTTTTAAACGCATACTCCGTTGTATATGGCACAGATATTAAGTAAAAATTTCTATTTTTCTTATTTATTTTTAGCTTATGAATATGAAAAACTACAAAATGATCCATTATTTTTACAAAATTTTTTTAATAGTTCTGCTCATAATGTTAAAACACAAAATGTTCAACGTTGGCTCGAACAACTAATGGAGTGTAGAAATTCTGGAAAACAATTTAAGTTACCATCAGATTCAAATTTAAATACAATACTGAAACACGTTTTATATGATGAACAAGGTAAGAAGAGTTGAGAGTTTTGTTTTATTCATCTGTGATAAATGGTAAAATAAGATAACCGATATTGTTCAATTATACGTTGAATAAAATAGTCTGAAAAGATTATAATATAGAGTTCACTATCTGTTTATTTTAAGGTAGTTTTTTATATAATCTACCTGCCAATGATTTACGAAATAAAACTGATCGTATTTTGGATCAACGTAAACAACAGCAACAACAAAAAGATATTTCAAGTGTTGACACAACTGAATTATTATCAAATATTGTTAAAGGTATGCAAGCTCATGAAATCAATTGCACAGTTACTAATGACACAATAACTACTACTACTACTACGACGACGACTGATCCATCAAGCACCAGATCACAACAAAGACGAAACAGTAGAAGAAATTCAGATGAACGAAAAAAAATGATACATCACAAGTAGATTTATTTTAAAAGCACATTATTAATCTTAAGATGTTATTAAAAAGAATCTTATGTTATAGAAGCTAACATTTATCATTTTCTTAGAGAAAAAGTCTCGGTATGACACTGATTAAAAATTAGTATGCACGGCGTGCAATGTAGAACTGACACTGACTAGGAGGGATTGGTCTGCACCAATACTCTGTCAAAGTATCATATGAAATTCTAGCAGTGACGATTAATATATCTTTCTAAAAAGTACTATACTATCATTTTTTAGTGCCATACAGAATTTTTTTTGTAAGTCAGAAGTTTGTTTTTTATTTTTCTATTAATTAGAATGAGACGCTGATAGGTATCAATATTACCATGACCATGTGACAATATTTCGGTATTTCTTGTATGAGGAAATAAAGTTAAAAGACAAGTATACTGTGATGTTTATATGAATAGTTGTTTTTCAAAACAAAATGATATTTGATAAAAAATTCTGCACTGGTGCACATTGTTGTTGAGAAAAAAGGGTATTCGGCGTTAGTGTGCACTTGTACTAAATCAGAAAAATATCATTCCACGTTGAGGCCTATTTATTAAGAATCTCAGATGCTTGCTCTTAAGAAAGTGTTCCCCGTGAAATTGTCCAATCACTTTTATTATTCTTGATTACAAAAAGGTTGAAATTATCCTTCAGAACATAGTACAATCAAGCACTTAGCAATTTCCGTCCTTCTATCGGTTCGTATCCCCAAATCCTTTTTTTGTTGTCATCTGTCATACTGAATAAACTATCTGAGTGTAAGTGTGAAAGTCGTTTAAAATTTCTATTTAAAATAGCTAAGTTTTCTTATGCATGTTTGCTGCAAAGGTGCCAGTAAAATTTTTTTTGTAGAACTCTTGTGATGAAGCATAATGTTTTTGTTGTTGTGAACACAATTTGAGTTATTCATTTGTTTTTAATGTGTACATAAGCTGCCATTGTTGTTGTTGTTCTTCAATTTACACTGCTCCTTCAAAAAAAATGCTCTATAATGTAAACAGTTTGTAAATATGCTAATTCATTTGGTTAGTTTTAGTATATACTTCTTTTTTTTTTTGCTCAATATATAAGTTTCTCTTTCCTATTTCTTTTTTTGTTTGTGCTTATTTTTTTGTTCACTCTCTTTCTGCTAATATATGTAATATGTATTAAAAAACAGCTTTTTTACATTGTCATTATGATATAAAAGAAATAATAAGAGTAGCTTTTTCTAGATAGAGGGTAATCGAAACAAATTAGTTCAGTTTTAGCAGCAACTTACAAAAATTAGAAACTAATAATTATTCTTGTCAAAATGTTATCTTTCAAGTATCAGTTTCGTAGAATCTATTTGATTAGCTTTACTAACAAGTGTGTGATTAGTTTTTCATTAGTTCTATAGTGTAGGGAAATCATGTTGCATGTTCACTTATCTAAAAATTTTGAAAAACTTTAGTTCGATACTTAATATAACTTACTGACAGATTTGGCTTAAAGTACAGTTGATCCTATGAACATTAATGATAAACATGTTTATGCATATTTTTATAACATCAAAATTTCTTTTTTCAACTGTTTTTAGATAACTAATGTTGATGACTGTACTCTTAGATTTACCGATTGAATTATTAGAACATTTACTTTTTTATGTTATTACATTACCGAGTACAAATGAAGCAAAAGATTTTCTGTCGTTAACATCAACATGTAAGAAAATGTTAATATTTGCAAAAAATGAACAGATATGGAAAACTATAGCAATAAGAAGAAAATCGGATGCAAAAATGAAAGAGAATTCAACATATTTCGATTATTGTAAATCAGGTATGTTTCTCATACAGTACTTTTCAAAAGTGATGATTACATTATCTCGACAAACCCACATCCTTATCATTCGAAGTTTTATGTGATTATAGTTCTTAATGTACGATAATAACTTACAAAGATTCAGTTCATTTAAGTGTATGATTCTCGAGATATTTCATTTCTTATCATTTTTCAGTAAAATACGATAGAGAATATTGTTCTAAGAAAAGCCTAAAAGGGTTTGGACTTATTTCAAAAGTTATGAGAATTCACGATAATACTAAAGTTTATGTATCTCTATGAAGCCAACGACGCCAGGGTTGACATTTTTATAATTGGTGAAATGTGTATAATATCTTCATTATCGTACAGATTTCACGCTTCAAATAAAGCTTTTGTTTTCTCTACAGAAAAAAGCAATGTGAAGAAATTATGATGAGAAAGAGAAGGAGAATTATCTGAATATCTGAAGTTTAAACGAGTCTGCTCCATATTTTGTGAAGAAAACAACGTTCTTCTATGCTTGTTCTACGATGTGTACGAAGTAAAAAGTCAATTATCGAATGTGTAAACAAATTGAAGGACCGAATATTTGTGTACTGTTAAAAGAGCACTGGCACAGTTGTTGAAAAAAATATCAGCTCTGACCTCATTGGTTCATAGAGATACATAAACTTTAGTGTTATCGTGACTTCTCATAACTTGTGAAAGAAGTCCAAATCTTTTTAGACTTTTTCTTAGAACAATATCCTCTATTGATAGATAGAATATCATTGAAAACAGTGGTGAACAACTGGTTCTCTCGTCTCTTCAACAAACTCCTTTTAATTGACTTTATTCTGGAGATACAAAACTACCATTTACTGACTTATGTGGTGGTTTGCATACAAATGTGACTCACCATGCTTAGTTTATTTTAATTCTAAATTTTATTCAACAGGATTAAGAAAGTACGAAATTGATAACAGTTATTGTATCGACATCTTTCTATTTTACAAAGATGTTGATCACATTTTTGTTAATTACTGTTTTGAGGTATCTAGTACTTTCTTTTGCATTTATCAATAATAGATATTTTGCCTATTTGTCAAATCGAAGAAGCTATTTGACATAAGCATTCATTTTGATGACGTTGAAACAGTCCATTGTCTTTTTGTTCTTCTAGTATATTGGCATCGTACTCTTTATCCTCAAGATCTGATATCAACAATTAGCCGTTTTAATGATAACTACCATTGTACAATTCAAAAAGTAGAATTAACTCCACATAAAATAAGAATTTATATTGATGAACGAGGTGACACATCGCTGGGTAATTAAATTTTCATTGTATTTTATGAGCATTTAGAACATTTTCAATCTAATTTTGTCACATAATATCTATTTGCATAGTTTAATCACTTTTTTTTTGTTATCTTCTAACTGCAATCTCCATTTGTCTAGTTCTTTTTTCCAGTTCAACTTCAAGATCCTCATCGTTCCACACTTTTCAAATCGTCTACAAAAGACAAATCGAGTGATGATGATGTTGCACTCGAATTAATCTATTATGATTTTTCTATTGCTAATCCGATTAAACAATATTTGGGTACGTACCATCTAGTATTAAGATTTATACATGATCAAATATTTTATTTTGCTAGGTTTTTTGGAGTATAAAGCAGATTACAGTGATTGTGTCTGTTTAAAATTCCAGTATGGTTTTTATGGTTATTCGACTATATGCTTATTTGAATTGAACGAAGAGTTCATTGATAAGCATATGATGCGTGGCATCCTTCGACTTGCAGAAGAAAAGAATTAAATGTAAATATGCATGAGAGTCAGAAGAGAGGACTTGATTGTCTTTGTAATAGAGTCAATGATGAATAAACTTTTAACAGATGTGATATTTTATTGTAAAGAATCAAGTATTTTTTATATATACGACTTTTTTTTGTAGCAGTTTTTTATGAATAGTTTTTTATCTCTTCATATTTCGAATCAATCGTTCTTATTCAGCTAACGAGGCTGATTAGAGTTTTAAACAGTGTTGATAGACCACATACGAGAGTATTAGGAACCATTTTTCTGCTAAAACATATGATATATTTCTCACTTTTAGATATATCTATTCATAAGCATTAATTTTCTTATTCGACTCATTGTATTAGTGAATTATTCTTTGTTCGAATTTATATAAACAGCTATTTATTATTCTTACGGTTAAATCTAATGATTAATTGTCTGCTACGATCATTTATTTATTTAAATTTAATTGATGACCTCTTCTCAACGTCGTACACAAGATGATAATTCATACACATTTAATGCTTATCTAGATGATGTGCCGTTTTTATTTAATAAAAAATATTTACCTGTCAATGTCGTAAGTACCACATGTTATCTTGATTGAATATTTTAATATTTTCTTGTTATTTTAGCCCAACCACGAGATACCCGATTATGATACAACAAAAGTGCGAGAAATTTTATCGAGACCGGTAGGTAATAGAAAAAAGTATTGTTATGTTTTACCTGATTTTATTGTTTCTAATCATTTATTGGCGAAAAGAATCGCATAGCTCTCTAATTTCGAGTTTTTTTTCAAGAGTTTAACGTATATTTTTAACATTTTTCACGTGAAAATAATCGAATTTTTCTGTTTTTTTTAGTATAGTTTTGCATTAGAACAAAAGGTATTACAAGAAGCGTTAGATGATGTAAGACGACAAAAATTAGCAATTGAAGCTGATGCATCTAAACGGGTGAACGCCACTACCACTACTACCACCTTATCAACATCACCACAAACAGTCACAAAGTATGTTAATCATGAACTTATGTATTTTTGAATCATCTAGAGACCTTCATTTTCTTCACTAGTATAACAATGACTGCTGACGAACATCAACAACAAGAAAAGGCGGAAGATGATCATTGTCAATTATCTGAAATTCAAGGACGAAAACAACCACGAGCTATGACAACTAACGACGTACTATCGCGTACACATTATTTACCCACTCCCACATCTAATCAACAGTATCAGCGTGTTTCCCCCCCACCACCACAAACACCACAAGTTTCGCAACAAACTCTCACTCCATATATGTTACGAACTGTACGCGATATCTATTGGCCAACAGGACAGAATTATGCTCAATCACAACCACCGACAACTATCAACACACCGTCAAGATTACCTCAAGTCATATCAGATGGTAGTTCAACAGATATACATGTGACAAAACAGCCTACTCCACTTTATGGTGGAGGTTTGTCATTTAATAATTCTGATGGAACACATACGCCATTATCCACCGCAGCGTCCACATCTTCTATGACAACTACACTAGAGTAAGATTCATTGATAAAGTAAAATAACAAGTGTAGAACTAATTTATTCCTATTTTAGTTCATTATCATCTACACCATCTTCGATATTAAATCCAAAATCGACAAATGGTGTCATTCTTTCTAAAATCATCACAACTCAGTCTGATTTCAATGATTTATCAACATTTGATCCATCTCTGTCTGATACACATGATCCATTTCATGACGCTGAACTAAAATCAATTAATGACATTGTGGCACTAAGTCAATTGTACACAACAACATCATCGACAGCAAATACAGTACGAAGATGAAATTCATCTTTTTCTTCTTACTGTTGATGATGTTATGAAACACTGAACAAATCTGTAATATGCCCAGGGATGATGGCTCAGTTAGCAATAAAAAAAATTTCTTAACGAATGAAACTAGGTGAGAAGATGAGTCACTTTGAAATGTAGGTGATTTTTTGTTCGACACGTACGTTGAACGTTTAATTTTTCAATCTTTAATTCTCTAGCACAACTTGATTATAGCAATTTATTTAAACACATCTTTCATCATTTATCTGTTATGAAATTTGTTTACTTTGCGTAATATCTATTCGGCTCTCTCCGTCTTTCTTTTTTTTTCTTACAAAGAAATGTGTGGATTTCTATTTTGTTTGAATATGTGTATTGTCGATGTTATATAGCAGAAAAAGGTAATTTTTCTGTTTCGCTCTTTTTGTGTTGTTATTGAAACTCGCAAATGTTCGTCTCTTTTAAATTATTTTTATTAAAAAATAAAATAAATACAAGATTTGAAACCTCTATAACCTTCGTTACTATCGGTAATTATCTTTGGAGACGATGTAATCTGTTTTTAGAGTTATACATCTATCTTGTGAAACTATTTATCGACACTTCTTAAGCCTCCTTGCTGATAGAAACCTATCTCGGTAAGTCAAATCTTAACAAATATTTCAGAAAATGTTGACCATATCAAAGTATGATGAAAAAAACTTTTATTTTAATTGAAATCTTTATCCGTTCATAAGATGTAGCACTTTGGAAGAAAGTAGACACTTTGAGCTATTCAACCATGTATAAATGTAAAAGATGTTTTGGACGAAAAATTCATTTTCTATGATTGAAGCGACGTTTAAGAGGAGTTTTCTTACTTAAAACTGTCATGTTCAAGTCAATTTTGGTCTATAGAGACAGAGTGACATTAATCATCTCTACAATATTCTAAATATTGTAATCATACAGTGAGGGGCCAAAAAAGCATGTACATTTTTATTATGTTTAAGATTTTTTTCGCCTCTCTGTCACAACGGCACTGTAGATATGAATCAGTCAAAACAGAAGAAGACTTATTCTATCAACTATCCCAGTATCATCATTTTATGAATGAATATAAGGTATTCGTATTTAAAATTGTTTTATTTATACATGGTCAGATAGAGCTTACCGAGTTATATACGAAAACAGCACATTTCAATTTCTGAACACAATTTTAGTGGAAAAAAATTTAAAAATACGAAAGATATCAAATTAGTCAAATTCAGGGCAACTGTCAAAAGCAAATCAAATTTTCATATTTATTCTCCTTTTAAATTCATGCGATCCAATCATGTCCTTGAGCAATTTTGACTAGGCGCCTGGACATGTGCCATAAAAGTGATACGAAAACCTTTAAATACTATTTTTATAGGTTTTCGTATGTACTCTTTCCAATGGTGTGATTCACAAAGTTCAGAAACAGTTTAGTCGGGTTTTTCAGAAACTAGATCTTTAGAAAACCCTGATAAAAACATTTTTGACGTGTGAACCATTGGAAAGAGCGCATACGGAAAACTATAAAAATAGTGTTTAAAAGCTTTCGTATCAGCGTGAAAAACTGCGTCGAATGATATGTCAGTTGTATGTTTTAATGCGCAAAAAATCGTTCGCTTTAATGAAATGACAGATTTACAGGATACCCTTAGGATTTTTGGCTGGGCACGTGAATATATGCCATAAATGCAAGGGGGAAAGCCAAGGGGGAAAGCACAGAATCCTGGAATCCTGAATTCTCCTGGATTCCAAGGATTCCCTATGATTCCATAGGATTCTCCAGGATTCCATAGACTTCTCCAGGATTCCATAGGATTCTCCAGGATTCCATAGACTTCTCCAGGATTCCATAGGATTCTCCAGGATTCCATAGACTTCTCCAGGATTCCATAGGATTCTCTTGGAATCCATAAGATTCCCTTGGATTC